CTTCAGTTTTCAAGGGGATAACTGGAAACCAATCTCTCCATCAGCCATGACTGTAGCAGTTCTGTAGTGGTTGGTGGTTGCATAGGGAAGTGTAGTCCAGATTTGTGGGAACTGGTGTGAGAGATCAGCACAACCTGCTTACTATGAAGCTTTCATCTATGGGACTTCATATACCACACTATATTTGGCAAATTTGGCCAACTAGTAATGGATTAAGGACTTGCTCAGTTGGTGTATCTGTGAAAATGCACTGGCTATTCTCTTGTAAAAGTGCATGGGTTTAGCGCAGGGGTTGGCAAAGTCTGGCCCAGGTATGGGCATGCAGGCAACGGATCGCAGCTCTGCCCTGGCAGGGGTATGCAGGCAGCAGATTGTGGTTCTGCCCCAGCTCTGGACCACGCTGTTGCCACTGCAAAATCCCAGCTCTAGCTCCAGAGCAGCTCTCTGCCCAGCCAGTGCTGCTTGGGCCAGTCTCCATGGAAACCCAGGTCCCTTGCTGTCATGGTCCCGGCCCTCCTGAGGTCTCTGTGGAAACCAGCCACAGCAACATGGGCAGGGGCTGCTGGGAAGCAGAGTCTGGCTGGATCCACCATTTTGCACACCCCTGGTTTAGAGCTAAAAAGTTTAATGTAGTTAAGGGGTAGTTAGATACCAAGATGCTAGGTAGGTAGGTACTCCATAAATACAATAGGTAGTTAAAAGGCAGGCATCATTTATTTTAGAGCAACTCTGTTGTTGATTTGAAGTTTTGTATACAAGATTGGTCAAGTTGGACCTTGCAACCTGGGATTTGTTCCTGCTTCAGTTTGTGACTTAAAAGCTTTTACATTTAAAACCTATAACACTTTTAGCTTCAGTACTGCAGAAATAAATGTTACATCGGTAAAGTGTAAAAAGGGCCAAAACATCCCAGCTGTTTAATAGGGATGCACCGATAAAGATTTTCTTGGCCAATACCAATTATTAACCAGCCACATTGGTCGTTGCTGATTTACAGAAATGTAGCCAGGTAGCTTGCATAGCAGCACCCACTCTAAACACAGGCCTGGCCCAGGTCCAGTACTGAGAAAAGGTTGGCACAGCCCCTGGCCCTGAGCCCGCAGTGGGCAGCCTGCTCTCACCCCATGCACAAATCTGAGGGGGACATGCCTCCCCATGACTCCCCCTGGGGTGTGTGCAGCAGCAGGGAGCCATCTCCCCTCCCTGGACAAGCTGCCAGTGGCTCTGCCCTGCTTCCAGCCCTGGGGAATTCATTGCCCTGGCTGGGCAGCCCCAGTCCCACTCCCACCCTCACCGTGGGGGCTTTGATCTGCCCCCCCATGCCCCTTCTCTCCCCCATGCCACTTCACCCCCACAGACTTACTGGCAGGGGATTGCTCTCCAAACTCCTGGGCTGAATTCCTGGCCACATGCATGTTGCAGCTGTGTGCATGCATGCAGCATTTATTGGTGACATTATTGGCTTCCCCCACCAAAAAAAAACTGATGGTCGATAATGTTAATTTTCCTTTTATCGGTGCTGATCTAATATGCAACAGATATATCGGTGCACCTCTACTATTTAAAAGTGTGTACATCCTAAGTGTACTCTTCAGTACTTAACATTTTCTGAGGAAATAATTTGGAGGAAACATTTAGACATTTAACAGAATATATAAATGATAATATTATTTTCTGCTCACAGACTTATAATGCACTTTTCTGTGAAACAAGTGCTAAAGATGGATCGAATATTGTAGAGGCTGTTCTTCATCTTGCTCGGTATGTAGCCATGTTTTCTCTCCTTGTGCTCTGAAAAGATTCAATTGCCTTAATACCTTAACTACAGCCTTCCATTTCCTCCTTTCTTGCACAATCTCCTTGCATCTTGGGTGCATACAGAAGTGGCAATTTTCACTTGATCCTAGTCACAGAAATAAGTTTATAGCTTTGACCAAACAAAAGTGCATGGCTGCAAGCAGCTTCAAAAATGGCCAGGTGAAAATCTGACCCTTCATTGCATGAGGTATCAGATAAAGATGCTTCAAAATGTAGCGCCTTTTGTAACTTGTCAAGCACCTTGCCACCATTTTTAAGTGCCAGGATGCTGATCCCCCTGGATGAGCTGCCTATGGGTCTGTCCCTCTCCCAGGCTCAGCCCCAGGTTCCGTTCACTGCCCTGGCTTGCCAGTGCCCCAGCCCCTTCCTCTGCCCCTGCCCCACTCCCTTCCTCACTGTAGTGGCCTTGATCTGCACCCCCACCCCCTTTCCTTTCTATAGACTTACCTGCAGGGAGCTGCTCTCCAAGCTGCCTGGCTGCATTCCTGTAAATTGGTTACTGGATCAGTTTTGGCTGATATGCCTGGTTAATAAATTGGCTATCAGTACTGGCCAAGAAAATCTTTATTGGTGCACCCTTAGTTTCTAATACCAAATGTTTATTTTTATATGGGTTTGAGTGTTGTATGTGTATGTACACAATGTTTTAATATGCTCCAGAACACATATAGAATATAGTTTAAATGGCTGGACTACAATTAAGCTGGGTCATCTGCAATTTAAAAAATATATTATAAAGAAAGGGAAAATAGGTTTTGTCTAAAAGCTTATGGCTTTAGAGAAGCTTATGGTTTTACAGATACTAAAACAACATCAAAGTATTTATAAACAAAATGATATTACTTTGAAGGTTAAACACAGATCCTGTGCTTTTTTTAAAAAAAATCTCTATTGGATTGATCATACCTTTTAATGAAAATACTTTCATTTTCTTAATCTTCTCATACACTGAAGGTGCATCCTGACTTGTCCACTATATGCATAATTTTGCCACAGTTATAATCACATTTTTTTATGTATTGAATGTAATTATTTGAAATGGATAAAATAATTTAGATGAAGTAAAATCATCCTATCCAGAAAACATGGTATATACCTAATAAAATATGATCTTAAGCTTGCAATTTCCTGTATTTCCATATGATTATCATAATATGATATTATAATTGAAGGATTCCCAATATTTATTGAATTCTCAGTTCCTGTTTTACATTTATTATATAGAAATTCAAACTACAGTTAAAACAGTTTTCATTTTATGCTGTTGCTTGGTATGAGGATCAAACCTCTTGACTTGAAAGGTTATATTTGGTTATTCTCTATTTAAGTGCTTTCAGTTATAATAACTTGAATAAAAATTCAAATTCCTGGAAAGAGATAATGCTGTTTGTTCAATCCGAATAGCTGTACTTCCAATAAAAATGAGTGTTGCAGAAGGGTAGGCATTTATATTTCCTTAAATTGCAATGCAAAGTTAATTGTTGACAAACAGAATGACTTGTTTCCAAGAATTTTCAGGAACCTGATTGCAAATACAGCAGCGTTTTGTGAAATGTAGTATTTTAGTGAATACAGCACAGTAGCATGCTGATCACCAGTAGAAAGTACACATCTATTTGATTAAATTATGTCAAGCTTTAATGACTGACACAATTTAATCAAATTAGATATGCACTTCTGTTCTTATCTTGCCTATCTCTTTTCAGTATTTCAAATAGCAAATTTAAACCATTTTTTCCTTGGTTTTCCTAAAGCTGTTTTTAGGGGAGTTTGTTAGTTGATGCTGTAGTTGAGAGTAATGCTGGATGTGCAGTACTCATTATGCAGCAATTTAGAGCTCAGAAGGGTGGCTACAAATCATTTGCGCTGGGATTAATATTTCTTATCTCCAGGAAGTAGTAATCATTTCTAAATTAACATTTATATTGGGCATTTAGGCTGCTGGTAGATGTTAATTTAGTCATGTGATTGAGATCTGATGCATTTTTATCCTGGATCCCCAAAATTGTGCATCCTGACATGCCAAATATGCATGCCAGGATGCACCATTTTTGGGTTCTTGGATAAAATTTATCAGATCCCATCATACACCCTGGGATTTTTAAATCCATGCTGTGTAGCAGAATATCAGTGACCAATCCCTGACAAGACTTGAAATGTATCAGCACCGGGGTAGTCCATTTGCTCCCCATGTCCCAGCAACTTAAAAGCCTTGCCATGTAGCTCCACAAATAGGTAACAGGGGCCTTAGACTTACAAGCCTGCATGCTACCTGTATTTAGGATTCATGTTGAGTAGCACCTTATTTTGTGAGAAGTCCTGTTGATTAATGAATTCTGTTACACTACTCAGTGTAAGCATAAAACATATCCAATAAGCTTTAATTCAAAGTGCTCTACTGCCATTTTCTCAGCGCGGGGATGCATGGGGACACTGATAGATGTGATGTGCAGGTGCTTTTAATTAGCGCAGCTCATTAATTAAAGTGTCCAGTGCTGCATCTTACAGCAGATGTGAAAATGCCCATTGTTGCTAACAATATGCATTATATTTCAGTAACAGATTTATATTTGAAACTGTAATACTTAGTTTTTTTAATATATGACTATACCTTGCTCTACTATGTTATGGAGAAGGAAGCAAATAAGAAAAAAATTGAATGAAAAGAAAGGCAAAAGAGAAAACATCATTGAAATTAATTGTGGAGACCTCAAACTGAAGTTACAGTGAATGATTTTCACATTTCAAAGGGATGTTTATCCCTTTGTGATTATTTTCATTGAAAAGAGAGCACAGCACTTCCTAAGCAGTTATTGCTTTCCTTCTAAAACAGAAATGTTAGCGAATTTCATTCATTTGGAATGCATTTGATTCCATACCCTAAAAATAATTTTCTTACTGTTATAGATGGTTTGTAAATTTAAGTTAGGTAGCAGTGTGTGATAGTAGGCAGCATATTACTTTGTATTGCTCTGTGTAATATATTTTGAGAAGAAACACATTCATCAACCTATATGTGTGTAACTTATTTCATTCATTTCTTACAGTGAAGTGCGAAAAAGAAGTGGCAGTGAAGATGACACCAGGTCAGTAACCAGTCTATCTGGGACAGCTGTCAAAAAACCAACACTCATGAAGAATTGCTGCCACATTTAAATAGCAAATTCCTATTTAGCCCTAAATAATTTTATTTGTGTATTTTTAAGACTTTTTAAAGAAAAAGAACAATGAAGGATTTAAATAATGTATTCTTCTTACTACGAATGTATATTATTATACAGAATTGGAGACCTTCAGATCTCGCCTTCTGCTTATTCATACTGATGCACTTGCCTTGTCTCTCAGGCCCTGACTTGACCTCACTTATGCCAATGGCAGTGAAGCCAATTAGTGTAAAACTGCTGTGAGATCAGAATCAAGGCTGTCGTCTTTCCTAGGTGTCTGTGCTAGCCAGTACGTAGAGTACAGTATTTTTATTTAATTTGCCTAGGTACTTTGTTATAAAGTGAATAAGGTTTCATACACTTAAAATGCTATTATGCTTTGTTTAAAATCAGAGATCAAGCCACATTTCATCTTTAGTTCATCTCATCTTTCCTATTTCAGCTTATATTACTACTTTTCTAAAACCTCAAGACATTGGAAGTTCAGGAAGTTTCATTGCAAAAATTGCAAGACCAGATTTACCAAAACACTTGACAAGTATTTGAGCTTTTCAAGTTAACTCAGTTTTGAATAATATAAGTTTTTGCATCAAAAGTATGTGAAATTGGTGGTTTAGAATGCATCTTTTTGAGATTTGGGGCTTAGATCTGAACTGAAGAGCAAAATTAGGTATACCCTTCATTCCCTGTCCCCTTCAATGAGAACTGAGGAAAGTATCTGTCTGAATTCCTGCAAAGCAGCTTACACACAGCTCAAAAGAGACAGTATTTCAGTATATACAGTATATAGGAACACTGGATGGATCTTCCTTATCTCATGTGGGAGATGCAAGAATTATCTGCCTCTGCAGAAGCTTCTTCAAGGATCAGGTGAGCGAGGCATGTGGCTGATGACACAAACGTTATCCTGTCCAGTCCTGTGAAATTTGAGCAGAAAAGATACTTCAGGGGAGGACTGGCTTTTCAGCATATTCATTCTAACTGAAATCCCAAGGGCTATCATGGCTAGGGGAGGTTGCTGCCAAGGAGAAGGAATGTTTGCAGACCATTAGGAATCCATGATCTCTTCTGTGTCTTGTGGGGATGGAGTAGGGAAGAGAAGTAAATCCTTCCTTGTCCTCAAAAGAAAAAAGATGAGAGGAACTCCAGATGGGTATCCTCAAGATTTCCTTTTTCAAAGTCCTGTACCGTAAGCACAGGTTAGAGAAAGATGATCCAACTCTGGTTTTCTGAGAGAGCACACTTTGACAGTATGTAGGCTTTTAAAGATGATTTTCCTAGCAAGAAAAGGTGTGAATATAAGCTCTTTATCTCAGTTCAAAATATTGCTCAGTCATTGTCACTAACTTTTACACTTTGTTACTAACACTTCCCAGATTTTCCCGTTAACAACTATGCAGTTGGTCCAGTAAATCATCCTAACAAATCCTTGCCTCTCACATAATTTCTAAACCATCGTGGTTATGTAACACCCCCATTAACAGCTGTCTTTCATGTAAAAAAAAACAAAAAAAAATGTAACCAAAACCTGTGATCATTCTAACTGCTGTCTCACTTATCCTTGATTTCACTGACAAGGAAAGAGCAATCACTTTCTCAAATTCTGCAGGGATATTTTTAAGCAAGGAAGCTGTGTCTTGCTAAGATTCAGAAGAGAAATCTCATCAGTAGTAAAAGTATCTTTACTGGCATTAAATAGTTACAGTTTAACATTAAGGGCCCAGACTTACAAACCCTTTTTATGCATCTTCTGTGAAAAATAAGCATACACAGAATGGTAGATGGGCATGATGTATACAACATTCCTCAATTTTGAATACCATGTGTTACAGCTTCCATGGGCTGGATTAGCATTGGGTAAAATGTTTTTAGTATTTCATCCTTTTTTAAATAACTACTTCTATATCTGATAGATGGTATTATTCTTTTCTGAATTGTTGCCATGTCTGATTCCTGTGTTTTGTGAGAGGAACTCTTTAAAAAAAGTGTATGTAGGGGGCAGGGATTCAAGATCCATACTGTAAGTAGCTGGTATGCATGTGCAGTAATTGGTTTTCCAAGTTGGTTTCATATCATAGACCCAAGTCCTACAAAGAGAACCTAGAGAGTGGATTATGACTGTTCATAGTCTGTTAGAGGTTGGCAAGCTCGGGGCTTGCCCAGCCAGCTCTCTCTGCAGGAGTAGGGTCATCAACATTTTTTCTTTATTTTAATTGACCCCCAAATATTTAGTTTTCCCCAAAGTCTAGAGATTAAATCTGTCGTTTAAAGGTTTGTGATCTTCATTTGTCTGAGCTCAGGTTAAACTAAGTGTGAAGAAAAAGTAGGCAAAACTCAAGGTCAAGAAAATGTCAACTTTCAAATACTAAAGAAAATGGCAGTGATGGGGAAATCCAGCAAATCTAGATCAAGTCTTCTTTAAACATCCAGCAGTGGTTGCCAGGGGGCACTGGCATCTATGAGACAGTGTTCATATTAATAAGCTGGCTTGGAATGATTTTGGTTTTACATTTAGAAATGGAAATATTTGCCAATTTTATATTTTAGAAAAACCTGAACAAGCTACCATATAACAATGGTTCTCACCCGGGGTGCTATGGTGCTGGCGCCATTGCCACAGCCAGGGGAAAGTTGCTACAGAGCCTCTCTTTCTAGGAGGGATGTGTGGGGCCAGACAGGGAAGCAGTAGTGGCAGGAGTGGGTTCTCCTACCTGTGTGAAATTTTGCTCCTGTCCCCTATTGGCCGGAAGTTTGGTAAACAGGAAATGCAGGCAGCAGTGCACAGGGGGACTCTGGTAGGAGGGTGCAGTCACATTTGGCTTCTGCAAAACCTGCATTTCCTATTTATAAACTGCCAGCCAATGGGCGAGGGAGGGAAGTGAGCAGGAACGGCAGGAGAACAAAGCTTAATGCAGACAGGAGCTCCAGGAAACAGCTGCATGGGGCAAGTTCACCTAGCAGCACTTGCATAATGTGGGGTGGGCAAGTGGAGCTTGTGCCCTGGGTGCCACCTGTGGAGAAGGGTACCTTACCCTCCCATCCTTCACTCCATCTGCACAGGCAAGTGTGTGTCATGCACTCGCAAGGTATTGTGAGAATTGTAATTTTGTAGAGCAGCAGTGGAGTTTGCTGCTGCTGGGGAGAGAATGGACCCCATTTTTTGCCGCTGAAATCAGCCTGCTTTTTTGCCCTCGCAATATGGACTTTGGTGGCATAACGATGGGGTGAAAGTTTCCCACCGGTAGCAGTGACCTCCACTGCCGTTCTAGAGAACTACAGTCTGCCTGGGCTGGCTGCTTGCTGCTGCTCCAGCATGCTGCCTTCACTGAAGCCAGAATGAAGAGAGATGGGTGAGAGAGGACTGTCCTGGGCACATTATTCCTATGTCAAGCCTCTGCCTGGCAGTGGCACCCAAGAAATTAGATAGGCAAGCTGAGACTTTACAGTGGTTCTGGGGTGCCATTCAATATAGGGAAGTTATGGAGGGGATAACTTGAATTTAAAAGGTTGAGAACCACTGCCCTATAAGGTAAATCTTCTGTTCTGCTTTAAAAGGTGGTCCTGCCTACTGCCCTAAATGTATGGCAGAAAATGTCTTTCAGCGTGGCTTCACCTCTGTATTTGTTTTTCTTTAATGGTTTAATTTAGAATTTACAAGTGTTTATTTTATTGCACAAAGTTGTGCTATTAGCTAGTGGATATGCTACCTTAATACATATATTTATTTTAGGGAGAAAAATCTTTCCACATAATCTGTAAATAAGATTATTTTTATGTAGTTGACACAAGTATTTTCTCCTTCATTTTCTTTCCCTTTTTAATGATAACTCGTGATGCATTTCTGAGGCAATAATTTTGGAGATATGCTCTTAAAATCATTTGATCACCCAAATGTTTTTGTTACAATCATTTGCTTATAAACTGTATACTAATAGCATACTAAGATTTTCTCCTATGTAAGAATACTCTAGTCTTCTACTGCGTTTTAAATATGATAGAGATGCATCATTTTTTTTTACTGACAAAAAATTCCATATTAGCCATATAAATAATGGTGATATGTTTACATAGCATTTAGTCAAAATGGATTTGAAAGCATTTCAAAGAAACCTAAGGTACCGGTCTTGGAATGAGCACCATATGGACAGACCCCTGCAGCTATGAAGAGCACCAATGAAATAATTGTAGTTCTGTCTTAGTGCAGGAGTTTTGTTCGTGGCAGTTTTCTGTACAGTCTTCTGAGGCTATGCAGATTATGTATTCTAATTGAAACCACTTATGGGATTTCATGTTGAACAATACTAAACAGCATTTTAGAAGTTAAGAATGCCATATCAAACAAACTAGAGGGACATATAGCAGAAATGTTTTTACCAAACTTAGGATACCAGGAATAACAGCCCTTTTTCTTTCATGGTATTTCATATTACTAGTAGGGATTATAACCTCATTTTACATTTCTCCTGTAATTTCAGTGTCCCCGATTATCACTCCCTAAAACTTTGAAATACACAATACTGTTCACTGTAACTCTGTTCTGACCCCTTACTGTCACTTCCTTCAGCAACATGCATTTTATTAGAGCTCTCCCATTAATTTATTGACTGGATCTAATGCTGCTTAGATTTGCTAACATCCCAGCTTGCTACCTTTTCATTTCATTTCTATAAAACACTTCATGGTTAAATGGAAAATGAAGAACAAACAATGCAAGCGCTTAGACTTTAGTTGCAATTTGTGTTACAAAAGTTTGTAAAGAGAAAAACACTTCTAACTGAAAATGTCAGCCCTCATATGTAGATATAGTTAACCTTGTATTAGCTGGGTATAAGTGAAGTTACTGAGTGATCAAATAACCAATACAATTTCCATAAACCTAAGCTGTGCTCACTTTTTAGCAAATGTAAAGTTAATTATTTAAGATAGAAATTTATTTTCATACTTGGATAGTGAGCAGCTTTAGTGAACTTTGGTTTATGATGTCAACTTTCATTGCAGAGTATATATTAAAAGAAGAATGTAATACGAAATAAACAGGCCTTGTAATGTAAAACAATTGTTTTTAAATGTTGATTTGTGTTGTTTATATGTAGTAGCAAGAACTATGGTGTTTATGCCCTTTGCCCCTTGTCAACTACAGATTGTTGTACCCACTGTGTAATTTTGTACATATGTTTAAAAAGAACCATATATTATCTATATTACATATTGCTGTACAATAAAGTGTGCTTTAATAGCTGTTCTGTGTGATTTATTTCTTGGATGATATTAATCAAAGTCAGTGGTCCCTCCTGAGCCCATCAATTCTATTTCCATTTGGGGATAGCCTTCAGTGCGAGTCCCAAGCAAATCTCAAAGTCATAGCAAGATGCTTTACCTTGTTCACCATACTCCCTGTCACTGATATGCACCAACAAACAGCTTGCATTCTAGAAGAGTGAATAATACCTTGCAATACTTGAAACCAGTGGTTCTCAACTGGGTTACCATGGGACTCCAGGGTGTCATGAGATACTTTCAGGGGTCCTGCAACACTACTGCCACAGAAGCCAAGTGAAACTCCCCTGCACACCCCTGTTTCCAGGAGGTGTGTGTGGAGCTGGACTGGGAAGTGGCTGCAGCAGGAGCGGGATGTTCATGGCTGCATTAGGTTTATCAAATACAATTCAACTCCAGGCTGTCACACTGGCACCAGGTGGAACTGTCCAGGAGATGCATGTAGGGCCAAGATGAAGAAGTGGTTGTGGTAGGAAGGGGTTCTCTGGCCTGCATTCAGTTTATCCCCAGGCACATCTCCAGGACTTTCAGAATTTTCCAGCTACATGCTTAAGAGGCTCAGTCAGTTCCCAGTTCCATATATGGGCAAATGCAGGGTGCTATAAAAGAGTGGTTACTTCATAGCCCAGAGGGGAGCTGGTAGGGACTGGGCAGGTAAGACCCTGGATAGCAGCTGTGGGGATTGGAAACAAATTTATTATTAAATAAAACAGATTGTGGCATTTCCCATAATTTTAAATAGTGACACTTCATGTTGATACTAAGCATGTGTGCCTGGGTCCTGAGCTCCCACTCTGTCCCAAGCAGCAGCACTGGCTCAGGCCCCAACGTGGCCCTATTTCCCTGTAGCTCAGCCTTGTCAAAGCTGTTTCCAGCTTGACCATACCATCTCCTTGTAGGTAAGCTGATACAGTACAATGAAAGCTTGATCTTTTACTTGGTAGATATTTGTAAGAACTACCAGGATCAAGTGTTTCATTATTTAGAATATTATATATGATGGCTAGTCATGCATGTTTTTCCAGGTGGTTTAAAAAATGTGTCCACTTACTTTTTATTTTAAGCATGGTAATAAATAGTGTTTGAATCGGGGTGGCACACTTCAGAAAAATTATAGAAGGGTGCTTTGAATCTGCTCTGAATACTGAATCGAGGAGTTTTGCTTTCCCAGGGCCAAATGAATGGCAACTCCCAGAGGCTAGCACCCTAGCACTACACCAACAACACTTCATATGAACTGCTGCTGTAATAACTGTTGATATCCTTTCTTGCTGCTTGCCAGCTCCCTTCTCATCTGTTGGTTTCTAATGTGCTTAAATTTGCAGTGCTGTATTTGTCACAGCAGAGGGCAGACTACAGGCATTGGTTAAAGTAAGAGAGGTCAAAGGAGACAAAAGGAGAAAATAAAATAAAATGGTTAAGCTGTTAGTCTTGGACAGTGGACTTTGTCATAAAAATTCTTGCTCTACCAAAGACATCTTGAGTATGTCCATTCTGTGCGAGATACTTAAGCAACCTCTGCACATGCGAACTGTGGAGCCAAGAGTACTGTAGCTGCATTTAGTCTGGTTGCAGCACTGCGGTCACATAGTGATATTGTTTAAAGTTATTGCACAGAGTTCAGGTATTTGCACAGTGCTGCTCTACACTAGAGTGTATGTGAATAGTGTGTTCACAGCTAGCTGGGGGTATCTCTGCAAAGCACTACATGGTGGTATGTAGACCTACCACTGAATTAGGCTAGGTCACGTCAGTGTTGTACTGTAATGTCGGCTTAACCATGCTTCCCTAAGGGTGGTGTAAATATTACAAGGTGCTCAGATAACATCACACTGGATACCAGGCAAGTACCTAAAATAGAATAGTCTTGGAAGCCGTGGTCTTCAGAGCTGTTTGGGAATTTTCCATCAGAGTGATTTAATTTAAACTTAATTTAGGAGGCAAACTACAAAACAAGTCAACCCCAGAGGGAGCTGGTGGAAAATGTGGTAAGATGACAACAGTGTGGTTGTGAGTGACCACCACACATTACTGAAAAATTAGGTAACTATTTAGCTAAGGTAAAATCAGCAGCTTTTTAATGTTGTATATTAGTAACTCAAACGTTTAACAGAGTGTTTATTCACTAGCTGTTATGTTTTGCCTTTTTGATAAATACATCTCTTGAGGCAAAATAAGCAAAACTCGGTGAAGCTGACTACAACTCTTTGGTTTTAGTTTGCACTCGGTTTCACTTGGAGGCCTACCAGCCTGCTCTGTGATGTGTTTATAAACCTAAGAACAAGTATTGTGAAGCTATGCTTCTGCCCCTTGCAGGCTTCTTTTGCAAATAGTCTCCAGCTCTGCCCTGAGCTAGTTGGAAGAGGCAAGAAAATGGAGTTAGGTTCATTGGCAATAAACAGTAGATATTTTTTTTCCCTAAGCTTAGAGCCAGATTCTTCACCTGGATAAAGATCACAATGTAAAGGCTCTGGCAATTTCCCAGGAAATTTAAGGTAGGAGGTGTTTAAATTTGTTCTTTAGCTTGCACTAAATTTCATCATGTTCCATGTTCAGTTTCCAGTATGTAAATCTTTATAACCCTGGCCTTACAGGTATGGAAGAGCAACTGGGGGTATGGGCAGGAGCAAAGGAACAGGAATGTACACAAACAATATTATTCCCTATTTCCAGAATGCCAATTAAGATTTTTTTTCTTTTAATCTTTAGTTTTGAAATCCATCTTTAGTTTTAGGCAGTTTCCCCCTCCCTCTCTCACAATTTATCTTGCCTGCGGCTTTAAAACTGTAAGTTCACAAGAGTACGAATTTGATTTTGTCTTCTTTATAACCTAAATATTTAGTCTCTGCTTCTCTTAACATGAATCTGGAATGATTTAAATTGGTATAAATACCTCTTTAGGGATGATGCATTTTAACCACAGATAATATTTCATAACCCAAATGTTAATCATATAATGAAGAACAAGTGTTTCAGTCGTGAACAGTGGGATATATTATGCTATTGACTTTGCAATCTGAGGGAGTTTTGGCTTGTACTCTGAGGACCTGACCAAAAGAAAACTTCAGTACAATAGGGGGTATATCTTCCCTCATCCCACAAACAGCTAAACTGGGCTGGATGCATGAGATGCCAGGCTCTAAAACCATGTAAATTTATAGCCCTTTTGCACATCTGCACAAACATAGAACCTAATTCCACTACTTTATTTTTCCTTTATGATGTCAGCCCGAAGTGATCTTTTTCAGCCAACTAACTCTTGAAACGGGCATAAATCTTTACTGCGAAGACCAAATAACCTCCCCTGAATAGAATTAAAAAAAAAAAAAAAAATCTTTCTGAGCCTTCCTGTAAAATAGGGATGCTCATGACTACTGGTTTAGACCTTTTAGAATGAAAAGTTATGTGAGAAATTTTAATTTTAGTCATGTCTCTTGCCTTCTTCAGAAAATTAGAGAATGAACTGAGCACGTGCAGCAGGAAATGCTGATTTGTGGGGCACATGCAGCAGCTCAAATAGAAGCGGTGCAAATTTGAGCCGGCGCTTTTTGCTTCAGTGCACGTGCTTGGACATGCACTTTGTTGTGGAGCAAAATGTGCCACTTGGGACAAAATAACCCTGCCTGGCTCCTCCCAGATCTACGGCCAGGGGGAGCTAGAGCCTGGGGGAGCTAGAACCTGTCCTGGCCCCAGCAGTACAAAAAGCTACCACCTCCCCCCTCCTCCAGCCCCCCAACCCCTTACTCACCAGCACTGGAGCCCTGGTGCTGAAACATGCAGCCTGGCCAGACACGTGTTTCAGCACCAGGGTGAGAGACCTACCATAGACATGCTCGGGCAGCCAGAGTGTCTCCATGGACGACCCAGCCTCCGGTTGCCTCAGGGCACAGTCAGGGACCGTGCCCTGCTCCTCTTTTTTAAACGTTGATTTTTTAGACCTCTTAGACATCAGGGCCCAGAGTTTTTCTGCTGATGTGCCCCAGGTCTGAGCATTATGTGCAAGCAAAGGGGAGAACCCCTGTAGGAATTCCCTCCTCTGTGCTTGAGCCCCCAAAGACAGATTCCTCTGGCACCCCTACCTGGACTGCAAGTGTTGATGGGGGGGGTCCTTTTGGGAGTTCAGCACTTGCAACTGCACATTGGGTGAGTCCCCTGTAGGAGGATTCTTCCACGCTTCCCAGGCTGGGGTGCAGCACCTGGGGCCCTCTTCCATCAGGACTGGGCCCCTGAGGGCAGGGGACCGACCCTGTTGGATGACAGCCCTGGTGGCATCAGTAGACATCAGTGAAGCAGATCAGCTATTCTGTGATATGTTGGTGGCACACCTGATTGTGCTCCAAAGAGGATATGTGTTTTCTGCCATAGTAGCTGTGCCTCCATTGGAGTTCTTTCTCTTCACCCTAAACCAAGTTTAAGTGAGGAAGGGCTGGTAATTGTTTGCATCAAAACAGCAGAGCTGTAGGAATATTCTAACTGAAATTAAAAAAAACACAGCTTCTGTATTAGACCAACTAGCAATTCTTTCGGTCTCCCTTCCATAGCCAGTGGCCCTAGTTCTGACTTGCCAGCAGCTTATGCCTAAAACTCCTAGTAAGTGGATTCACTTCCTCCAAGAGCATATGTGGGACCACTTGATTTGCACAGACACATCTCATAAGGACTCCTGACTGGAGTTGTCAGTTAGAACTGAAGATCTGTTATGTTTGTGGAAAGAGGTGTCACCAACTCTAAATATTTTTGAACTAGATAAATAGTAGGAGGTGGGTCTCGGTTTGGTTTTATAAAATAAGTCCATTGGCTATAGAAGACAGGTCCAGTGTCAGTGTATTCACCTCAGTAGACAAAAGCAAATGGAAATAACTGATAAATGTAGTAAAAAAATCAGATTTTTAAATACCTCCTCGATGTTGAATTAAGAGTTCATTAATCACTCTTTCTAAATTTATACTCAGAATTCATAC